TGCTGAGGATGCAGTGATGATAAACTGCACCGTCTCCATCCTCACGGAAACCTGAGTCCAAAGAAGATGATAGTAAATAAATAATCACAAAATGAATTTATAATTACCAACTTTAAAAAGTGATAAGAAAGAACACAATTCTGGGAAGATTATAAAAATAGGAGAACTAGTTTAAAATGGAGACAGATATTTAAGCAGAGCTGAAGGATGGTGTATTAGTTTTCTATGGCTGCTATAAGAAAGAGCAAAACCTTAGTGGCTTAAAACAATTTTACAGTTCTGAAGGTCAGAAGTCCAACATCAGTCTCACTGGGATAAAATCTCTATATTGGAAGGAATGTGTTCTGGGGATTTTAGGTAAGAACCTGTTTTCTGGCTTTATCCAGATTCTAGTGTCTTCTCACATTCCTTGGCTTAGGTGCCCTTCCTTCTTCAGAGCCACCAGTTGCATCTATCTGACCATTCTTTCCATAATCATTTCTTTCTTTAATTCAGTTCTGTCTCCCTCTTCCACTTTTAAGGACCCTGTGATTACACTGGGTCCACTTGGAAAATCTAGGATAATCTCCCTATTTTAAGGTCAGCTAATTAGCCATCTTACTTCCTTCTATAACCTTATATCCCCTGTGCTCTGTAACCTGACATATCCATGAGGCTCTAATGTGGACAACTTTGGTGAGTCATTATTTTACTTTCCACAAATGGATAGAAATAAACTTGCAGAAGGCTGTCAGGGGTTGGGGGTGACCTTCCAAGGAGAACACAAGTAGAGATCTTGAAGAGGCTTTCATCAAGTTCAAGAGAAAGGAGAATGTGTTTGAAGGGTGGTCAGTGAGGGGAATAGTGATGCAAGCTAAGGTTTTACAGACAGATGGGGCTAGATTTTGCCAGGGCCTTTTTTGGCTTTGTAGAAGATTGGCTCTTTTTTTCTTACATGCCTGGGGAATCTTTTAGAGTACTGAGTGGGGTGTGGCATCATGTATTTGGCATTTAAGGGTCACTTTGAATCCTTGGAAGAGAGCAGAGTAGGAAGGCTAATGATGAGGCTGCTGTTAGTAGCCAGAGAAAGAGAATCTTTAATACAGGGCCTGACAATTAGTAGGGAGTAGGAGACATGTTTGTAGTTCTTCTCCACAACCAGGCCATTCTCTGGCATCTCCCTCACAACACACATTATTTTTCAAAGGCTGTCTTCATTTATGATGTCTGACCTTACTTCTTTTTGCCAACTCCCAATATCCTTTCAGATCTGGCTCAAGATTCACACCACCAGGAAGCCTTCAGTGCCTGGCTTTATTCTACATCCATCACTCCTTTGCTCTATGCATATTTTGGATTGACATTACTCTTTGTATATTTACTGTCAGTTTTCCTCCTAATTGGGTCTACTCAGTGCTACCTTACAGCAGCATCTGTCCTGCCCAAATTCCAGAGCTACCATGACTAAGACAGCAGACCAGATAGTAAAAGCCCCAGTTTTGAGCATTAGGGTGCTGGAGTATTGCATCATCTACCATGCTTTGATGTCTAATGTTGAAGCCTTGAGATGAGGTGTAATGTCCTACTGCTGACCACTTGGAGCCCTGTTTCAGCCTGGGTGAACTGGGTTTTGCTATAGTAACAAACAGCACAGGTATTGCAATGACAACAAATGTTTATTTCCTGGTCACAGTACTTGTCCATTACCGGTCACCTATGGGCTCTGTTCCATTTATCATTGTCCTCATTCTGGGACTCAGGCTAATGGAACCTGGTTTCTTTGTGGAACATTACCATTGACCATAGCTTATGAGTTGTCTCAGTGTTCCAGCTCTATAGTGATACACCGCTCTTCTACTCACAGTTCTGGCCAGAAGAAACCTGACTTTAAGGAAGCTAAGAAACAGAGGACAGGAAGTGCAACTCTGTCATGTATTGGAAAAGCTTGAGCTAGAACATTTGACAAATGGTACAAAGAGTATTATTCTCATTATAGTCTTGAGGTCAGTGCTCATCCCAACTTTCAGGGGGTACCCCGGGTCTGATAACCAAATCATGATAATGAAATTTACAAGTCCAAGTCCTCTCTATGACTCATTTTATGAGCCTGAGACCCTCCTGGTTTCCCCTCTGAGGTCCTGTTCTAGCAATCAGCTGTTTCTCCTGGTTCACCAATAGGGTGGAAGCCTTGTCTTTTCCTTTTTTAGCCCCCTTTAAAGGACTTGAGTCTCGTTTATCCAGGTGCTAGAGCCCTGCTATCTGTAGGCAAGCCATGACACAGAAGGCAATGAGTGCTCAAATTCCTGATAATTCTCCAGTTGAATTGCATCTTGGGAAGCCTTGGTATTTTTGTTTGGATTCTTTCATGCTGATCATTTGCCTGAACCCCAGACAGATATGTAGTCTCCAAAGCTAGTAAGTCTTGCCTTCTGACCAGGAATTTCTAAGCCTGTGATGTAAATTCCAGCATTTTCTCCCTAGTAGGCAAGTCTGCTCCAGGCATTAACACCATGTCTTTCTCGATGCCAGTAAACAACCATGCTGCCTTGATGTATCCTGAGGCACATCACTAGAGTCTCTAGTTGTTTTCTTAATGTTTTTTCTATTCATAGAGATTAAGTTTCTAAATATATTTCCCTCTCTTCATTCCAGTTTTTCTCAGCATCTAATGTGACACAGTGAATATATTAAGTGTTTAAAAACTACTTCAGTGAATGAATGGGGAACCACAAACTTATCTTGGGATTGAGTATCACTAAATGTTTTGGTATTTCATCAGGAAAATGGGGTAATGATACTTAATTCAGGAAGGTATTTGGAGGATTAGATATGATCAGTGTGGTATGCAATGGAAGAGGCGCCTTCACAAGAAATGTCAATAATATTAATGACAAGATGTGGTTGAGTCAGAAGCCACCCAGGTAGAGAGCAGCGCCCATTTAGTGTGCCCCAGTGACATTCTTCGACAAGAGATGAAACTTTTGTTTTTGTACCTCTCACCCACGTCTGAGCTGTCCTCCTGCAGCCTTTTCCTAATGTGAAAGAACAATAATCCCTTAATTTATGTAAGTGTTTTTTTGTTGGGATGGTCAAGAGAGGTTATTAAACAAATATGCAGATAGTTTGTTTTTTCATTCTCCAACTGATCATTCTTTTTTTTTGAATAGTCAGTGCATTGATTTTATTTTGACGACACTTGAATCACTTCTTCTACCATTTCTATGCATTTTGAATGATTATCTGATCAAGTTGAAATTAACAGGAAATGCAGATCTAAGTACTATACTGAAGCCTTTGACATGTGGTATCTATCTGTTTGGTTATCATTTTAATCACTCAACACATCATGATGAACTAGTTATGTTCTGGCCTAAAAAATTGCTAAAGTTGAGAGAGCTGGAGCTGTCATTTTGGTTGTCATCGCACTAAAAGACCAAAGCAGAAATACAAAGGTGTTTTGATTGGTAGTATCAAATCTGGATTAAATTTCAGTTATGGAAGTGTTTCAAGCGGGGAGGGAACTTTATCAATAAATTAATTTTGGTGTAATCTTTAAAATCACAGTGTGGTTCATTTTATAACAGATGACATATTAACAGGATATGCATTCTTTTGGGTAAATTAACATATTTTAAAGGACTGTCAACCACTCTTAGTATATTGACTTCCAAATTTTTTTGGCCTAAATTTCTGCAGATATCAAAGAGTTTTTCTAGGAGATATTCAGTATGCCAGTGAGAGTTAACTGTATTTCTTTGCACGTTGTAATAGTCCAGGTGTACTCAACCCCAGCAGTTGGTCTGTGATGTCATAAAAGCACAGAAACTGTTCTTCAGAAAACTAGAGAAAGTTTGAATTTTATACCGAAAAATTCAAGTGCATGGGAATTTACTTGTTCATTCTTACTTTGGCTCTTGCAACAGTTAACCAATTAATGATGTTGAGGTCAGACTTTGATATTATTTTGTCAGTGAATTAATGATATACATTGTGGAATTTCACCTACTCAATGGTTTTGGAGCTCCACTGCGAAATTTAAATAAGCGTCTTAATACCACAATGTCATACTAGATTCTTTTAAAAGCGTAATACAAAATATTTATTCTATTCAACTGAAATGAATTAGCTAATGATATTAAATTGATTTTTAAATTCATTGGCATATCCAAAGGTCATGGTTAGTACTAGTGAATCTTCTAACTCACATGGGTTCCTTATAGTTAAGTGACCACATGTCCTGGTTTGCATAGGGTAGTGTTGTCTCTGTGAAATTAAATTACTCATACTGCTTCCTTCTGCTCTCAGCAGTATTTTGGTTTGGGGCAATAAATTATATGATTACTCTACTTATACAGTCTCCAAAGCCGCAGACTCATCGACTTAGTGTCAGCATGGAGGGGTAAAGCATTGCCTCACTTTTCTCTTCAGAACAAATCTGTTCCCTAGCTTTTCACACCTTTTGCGTTCTATAGACCCCAGAACCATTTTATTTTGCTTCCATGGATTCCAATGAAAACTTTTAGCTATGGAATGCATTTATAAGAGAACTTTAGAAATGATAGAAAAAAAATGTTTTAATACATAGTCAATATATATTTTATTGTACTCCAGAAGGACAGGAATCTTGACTCTTATTCACCATTGAACACTCAGCACCTTGAGTAATGTGTGGCTATAGTAGAGACTCAATAGTGCTTGTTGAATGAATAATTTAAAAACTTACCCATTTTTTAACTCAAGAAAAGGGAGGTTTCTTCATACGTATAATTTCTCTCTTAAAGATATTAAGACACTCCATGACCACCCTTGAAATTGTTGTTTAATGTAATATTTCTCAAATATTCTTTGAAAACAGGATTATTTAGCATTTGGCTAAAATCAGACTCTCTGATCCTACCCATTGAAGTCTGGTTTAGTAAGTCTCAGATGGCTTCAGGTATATAACAGGCATCCCATCTAGGATCCTTTGCAACTCCAAGTCATTGAAATCATTGTTTCACTTTGTTTTCAAAAGGACACTTGCTTGACTTCCTACTAGACGATCCATCTTTCTACAACTTCATTATTAATGAGCCAGTTATGGAGAGGGACTAGACTGAGAGGAGTCCGTGTTCTGCCACACAGCTGGTTTTATCATGTCTCCTCTGTGGACACCAAGTTTCTTCAACTTTAAAATGACAGGGCTGAACTACAAGACCTCAGACCTCTGGCAGCTATATTACCAGGTAATTCTTGTCTTTGAAAACTGATAGTATCTGAGCAGATAAAAAGAGCCACATGAGGTGTTTTCACAAAAAAAGCCTAATTACTTTGTCTTTGTTACTTCACTTGTAAGAAGTTATCTATGGATCAATTAGTACTGAAGAGAGATATGTAGACTTCAGGTGATTCACAAACAACTTTTTGCACCAGTTTTATTTGGGACTCCCTGGATACATGTGTTGGGAGCTACTTGATAACTTTTCATTTGAAGTTAAAAATTATTTAATTCTTGCCAATTGTCTCTCAGATCCTGCCAAAGATATTTCTACAGATAATAAAAAAGTCCTTCGCTTTTGAATATAATTTGTAGTCAGAAGAGCCCTGCTTGATGAAGTGTCCTGTTACTAACTATGAACAGAATCAGAAGTAATCTGGGCAACTATGCCAAATGGATCCCACAGAAACAGAAGCGAAAGGGACCCTGGTGAATGTATTCACAGAGATTAGTTCACCAGATTAACTACCTATGTAGGATTGGGGCTTAAGGAAGTATAAACCAAGTTAGATTAATTTTTTCCAGAAGCGGAGAAAGAATAGTTTGAAAAAGTTTTAGAGCTGGGCAGGAACCCAAGAAAGTCAAGACTTGATGAGTCTTGATCCACTGATCGTGACTGCCTAAAAGTTGTTGCCAATAAGAGGGAAAAGATGTTCATGTCTGGTCAGTACAAAGAAGCAACAGCAATATTCACTTATTTCAGATTTCTGTCCTGGGCTATTCCTGAAGTCAGGAGAAAGCGTTCTATGAAATGACATGATAGGAGAGTTAAAGAATTGTATGATTGTAGTTTCTTTCTACTAGGCGTGCTGCCGGGTAGAAGAGTATTGAGAGTGTAATCACAGTGGTGGGATTGATTTCCTTATATTCTTACATAACTGCTTAACACCCCACTTCTTCCTTTAAGGTGGATCCCCTGTAAAGAATAATTATTTATCATTTAGTCTAATCCACACTGACACCAATGTCTCATAGTAGATTTAGTCTTAATCAACTCAATTATTTCTCAAGGTTGCAGGTATAAAGGGCAATGAACAGGCTGAAAAATGTTTCTAGAGTTAAGCTTGTGATATTGACACCTCAAGAATGGACAGAAAACATGGGAAATACATAGTGAATATTGAACACTCTGGAAAACAGTTGGTGAGTATTGATGCTGTCACTGTGGTATCTGATAGCTCAGAGTCTTGTTTTTATTATTTATACAACTCCACTTTTTTATTACAACATGGTTCTTCCTCAAAAGGAATTACTAATCAAAGTTTTACTTGGAAGTGAATTTTTAGCTACTCTGTTACTACTTATTAGAAAACTTGTATGTTTTTCTGTATATCATTACACACATAATTGAGAAATTTATTTTCATTCTCCTTAATCTAAGATATTAGCAATTTTGTGGGTAACAATTTAATAACCTGTTCAAATAATTTTCTGCAGTTATCATAATTCCAGCAGAAGCTAATACATCTGTATTTGATTGCATTAATAGTATTTTTAAATGTGATTCATAGATTTTTCTGTTAACTGCCTAGATTTTTAATGTCCTGTAGATTTGTCAGAATTCAATGATTTCTACATATCTGACAATATGAAGATAATCTTGTAAATGAAGTGTAGGCCTAGGAAATAAATTATATAGCAAATCCTTAAGATTGGTCTCTGTATTACTACTGATAAATTTCTTTTTAGGTCAACAATTGTATTCAGGTGAAATATTAGAGTTCAGTGTATATAATATTATTTGACTATTACTGATGTTTTTAGAAAAACAATTTAGTACTATGTATTTTATGATTGCCGTTTATATAACTGCATGTCTGATTAGAGCTCTTCATATTGAAAACAGGAACAGAAATGTGCTGAATGAAATCAGGGTAAGTTTGAATGGACAATTACATTTTGTGAGGAAAATATTTTTTTCCTGTGCACTAATAGGGAGGTTATAAGGCAGATAAATTGTTCTCTTGAATCTAGATCAGTAACCCCTTCTCCTAAGGATGTTTGTCCTAGTCCTTCTAGCTTAGCAACTCTTGTCACTGTGTCAAAATACTCAGATCACAAGATCCCTTTAGTAAGGAATAAGTCATCTTGAAGATTTTCTTAAACAGTACTGAGAGTTTTCAAGTAAAATGCATGTATCTTGATCACTGACAATGTTTCATTTAACATATGAATATTTGGACATAATGGTAGAGACATGTTTTTTCCCATTGAGGTTCATTTTTACCAATGGATTAAAATACCTGTTGAAGGTCACATAATAAAGGAAAATGTAGAAGTTTGTTTTTTCCTTCTTAAGAAACATGAAATGAGAAACTAATCTCTTTTAAGTTCAGAGCAGAAAATTTTAAATTTTATTACAGGAACCTAGATAGTGCATATGAGATTATATAATGGAGACTATTGGCTTCTACAAGATACAATTAACTCTAGTTCATAGCCCCGCAGCTGCTCAGAATTTTAACTTTAGACTCTAGTTTTATTAAGAGACAGAGGAAACTGAGACAGTGAGAATGATATTAACCCCAAAGCTCCAGTATCTAGGCTTCTACATTCTTGTGTTGACACCCATCATCTTACTTCTAAATATTTTGAATTCTGGCAAGTTGATCTGGCCAGTGAATTTCTATGTAATTATGAAAGTTCAAATAATGTCCCTGCTCACCAGCCACAAGCAAACTGAAAAGTTGAAGGATAGCAACAGTAATATACAGAAATACAAAGCTTTTATCAACTATAAATCTTTGGTTTTCTCAAAGCTATCTATTTAAAAACAGATGGAAATTTGTTTAAATGCTTGTGTGTATCAAATCTTCTCTTATTCAGTATCACTGCATAACTATTCTCTATTTGTTTGGCATGACATTGTACCTTTAGAAAAATAGACTTCAAAAAAAACTAATTTTTTATGTACAACTATTTCTTCTTAACTATATTTAAATGTAATTATATTCCCTTTTATTCTAAATTATTGTCATTCAATGCCCAATGTCTGTACACATATTTAGTTTGATTGTTTTAATAGAATTTAGAGATTAATTGAACTAGCAATGTCAATAGCCTTTTAAATAACTATTTAGAATTGAGTCTTTAATCATTATAATCAAGAGAGATTATACTTAAGTAAAATTCTTATTGTCCTATTAGGAAAAAATTCTAGATAACCCTGCTATTATTTTTCAGCTGTAGCAAATTTCCTTGTAACAGTTTTCACTTCCATGAATTTATAAAACAGGTTACTCTTCTTGTTTTTCTTAAAACTGTATCTGGGGTTATTTTTCTTTTAACTTCAAGGAAAATCTAACCTCCAAGACTTCTTATTTGAACCCACCCTTTTAATTAATTTACTTTTTAAAATTCAAAATGTATTTAAAAGATTTAAATAATAACATAATAGACATGCGTGTACTGAATACCAAGTTTAAGAAATAAACCATTACAGGTATAGTTGAAATTTTTATTTATTTTTTAATTGTATACATATGACATACAACATTGTGTAAATTTAAGGTCTGTCCACACCCTACTAACTAAAATTCCCCTTATCAGTGCAATGTGTTACTTTGATGTATTTATATATTGCAGTATGATTTCTGTTGTAGCAACATTTATCACATCACATAATTATATATAGTTAAGTACTGTTGTCTATAATCATGCTGTATATTAGATCAATATGGCTTTTTTACTGCTTGTTGCAAGTTTGTGAATTCTTTTGTTTATATCTTCCCAACACCATTTCCTTTCTTCTTTGTGCTACCCACCTAAAAAAAGACTATGTTGAATATAGTTGTACCCATTTTACAAAATAAAAAAAATAAAAAAAAAAAAATTAACAAATTTAATAAAATAAAAAAAAAAAAATAAAACATAACAAAAAAAAAAAAAAAAAAAAAAAAAAAAAAAAAAAACAAAAAGAAACTAGAACATGCATATGGAGAGCTTTCTAAATGACTTGCTTTCCATACTTCCACGGACTGCCTAGTTCCCTTGAAAAGAGGATGGCATTAGTAATTAGAATGGGACCATTCTGGTAGGGGAACTTGTGGACAAATGGGTATTGTACTTACTAGATTTACAAATTCTGGGCACTATAACCTGAATAATGTAACTTTGTTACTGCTTTGAAAAATTTTATTTTTAATAATACTTTTAGACTTATAGAAAGTTGCAACCACAGTACAGCCCCTAGTTTTCCCTATTATTATATTAATACAGTACATTTGATACAACTAACAAACCAATATTGATATATTATTATTAACTGAAGTCTGTACTTTAATCAAACTTTCTTAGTTTTTACTTAATGACCCTTTTCTGTCCAGAATCCCATCCCAGATAACATTACATTTAGTCATGACTCCTTAGCCTTCTCTTGGCTGTGACAATTTCTCAGACTTTACTTGTTTTTGATGACTTTGATAATTTTGAGGAGTACTGATCAGATATTTTGTAGAATTTCCCTCAACTTGGATTTGTTTCTTTTTTCATGATTACACTGAGCTTGTGGGTTTTTTGGGGGAAGACCACAGAGGCAAAGTGCCATTCTCATCACATATCAACAGTACCTATTATCAACTTGACTTACCATTGCTGAGGTTGACTTTGATTACCTGGCTGAGATAGTATTTGGCATGTTTCTTCACTTTAAAGTTGCTCTTTCCCCTACCCCACAACCCCCCTTTCCATACTATAGTCTTTGGAAGTCACTGTTCAATCCCAAAAAGAGTGGGGAGTTATATTCTTTGAGGATGTAGCATTTATATCAGTCATCTGGAAATTTGCATAGGAGATTTGTCTTTTCTCTCTCATTTATTTATTTTTTCAATTATTTATTTATATGAGTATGGATTCATGGATATTTATTTCATTCTTTGGGTTATAATCCAATACTTACTTAATTTTTTTTGCTCAAATTGTTGTTACTTTGGCCATTGAGAGCTCTTTCAGTTGGTTCCTCTGTCCCTTTGACATAGTGACATACCCCCATAATTGTGGTGTTGTTTCGGTGGAACATGGGGGATTTCCTTACTCTTGGATACTATAAGATACCCTAGACTCATCTTGTATTTTTCCTGCTCCAGCCCTAGAATTGGCCATTTTTCCAGGATCCCTGGTTCCTTTCATTGGAAAATGGTATCAGAAACCAAGATGAAGTTCTTGTTGCTACTTGTATACTGTTCCTTCCAGGTCTCTCAGTTGTGAAAGGATGGAAATATGTATGTGTATATTAACCACCATGTATATACATACCTATGAGTTTTGCTATATGTAGCCCTCTGTATTTACATTAAGCTAAACAGTAGTTCATACGGATAAATCCAGCTTTAGTCCTGTACCACATGGACTATTCCGACCTTCTCCCCTTGCTTCTCTGCAAACTTCCACCCCAACAGTGAAATCTGACTGCTACCATCTGCCAATCATTTACAGCCTCTTTTTTGAAGTATGTATTAAGTTTTCTTTTACCTTTTAAAATGGGGTTGTCTGGATTTTGCCTATGATTGGAAATAGTTCTTTATATATATGTTGGATATGAGTTCATGTTTGTTATACTTACTGTGACTCCTTTCTTCCAACCAGTGGCTTGCTTTTTCATTTTTTTATAGGCATGTTTTGGTGGTAAAGTTCTTAACTTAAATGAATTTTGTCAGTCTTTTCTTTTATGATTATGCTTTCAGTATTCTGCTTAACAAATCTTTGCCTATTCTAAGAACATGAAGATATTCTCCTATGTTTTTACCTGGAAACTTGATTGTCTACTCATACATTTAGGTCTATGATCCATTTAGAATTTATTTTTATGTATGGTGGGAAATAGGATCGAACATTTTTTTATATGGAAATTTTTTCTGCACAGATAATTGTTAAGATCCTGTCTCTACTGATTTGAGGCCTTTTTTGTAAATCAGGAGACTTTATATTTGTGGGTCTGTTTCAGGACTCTAATCTGTTCCATTGTTCTGTTTATCTATTCCTATAACACTACTACGCTGTCTTGACATTCTAATTTTATATATAGTAAATCTTAAAATTTGGTAGTACTTCATCATTACTCTTCAAGTTATCTCCAAGTTATATTTTTAGAATCAGCTTGTTGATTTCTGTAAAACTACTTCTGCAGTTTTGATTGGGATATTATAGAGTCTATATATTAATTTGTGAGAATTAACATCTTACTATCCAAGTTCTTCCATTTTTTGAGCATGGCTTATTTCTCTATTTATTTTGACCCTCTATAACTTTACTAGCAGTGATCTTAGATTTTAATGTCGAGATTGAGAACATTTATTTTGAGATTTATTTCTGGATGTTTTTTGTGTTGTTTTGAATGGCATATGAAGTTCAATTTCAAATGTTTTCTTACTATTATATACAAATCCAGTTGAGTTTTATATATTTACCTTGTAACCAGTGACCTCATTACTTCACTTATTCATTATAATATTTTGTTTGTAGATTTTTTTGGATTTCCTGTGAATACAATGATGTCATTATTCTCTTTTTTCAAATTTTAAAACTTTCATTTTGTTTTCTTAATGCACTGGCTAAGACCTTCAATTTATAATGTTGAAAGGAAGTGGTAAAAGGGAAGATCTTGTGTTATTCCCAAATTCAGGGGGAAAGCATGAAGTGTTTCACCATTAATTATAAGGTTAGCATTAGGTTTTATGGAGCTATGCTTTATTAATTTATGATATCCCTTCTATTATTAGTTTGCTATGAAATTTTATCATAAATGATTTTGAATTTTGCCAAACTCTTTCTGCATTTTTTGACATATGTACATTTTGTTGACTTTTACTCCCTTTTCTCCTTTGTTCCTGTTAATGTGGTGAATTTTATTAACTGTTTTGAATGTTAAAAACTTGTATTCCTGAGGTAGACCTTACTCGGTCATAATTTTTTAATCTTTTTTATATTTTTGGATTTAACTTACTGTTAGATTATTTAGAATGTTTGTAACTATATTCTTGAGAGATTGACCTTCAGAGGTCTTAAGGTCAATTTTTTAACTCTCTATGCCAGGCATCATCAAAATCTGACAAATATCCTAGAGGGGGAACCAGTTGCCTTTCTTCTAGCAGAATTTTATATTTATCAATCACTATGGTACTGGTGGAGACTACTCTGCTCCAGCCTCCAGAGCTATCCCAGAACATTACAAAAGCCTTGTGTTGAGGTTTCATTATTTTCTAATGTCAGACCAGCCTCACATGAGCATAAAAAGTTTTGCTGACTTCTTTGGTAGTCAGAACCTCAGCTCATATTCAGAATCAATAGATGCCCCTAGAAAAGAAAATAGATTATAATTGTTAGATCACTCTGGAAAAGTTTTTTCCTTTTTAAAATTTAAATAATCAAAGTTTCATTTATTTCAAAGTTTCTCTATTATTGATGGATTGATTGTATGGCAGAAGTAGCCTATTGCAATTTACTGTGCCCAGAATCTCTTTAGATCTTGATTTGATTTTCTCATTTTATATATAATCCAAAAGGTGTTTTTAATATGCCTTAAGGTCTCTAGAATTTTCATTGTGGGATTTTAAAAAAAATATGATTTCCTTACACCAGTGTGCAACATATTGATATTTAAGAAATGCATTAATATGATGAGGATGAAAGATAATGCCTTACCTGGATTTTAACATCAATTTATGTAAAATAATTAAACATAACTTATGATCAAACTAGATTTCCTATTTTGAGAAGAAATATCATGAATGTATTCATTTATTCATTCAGGTTTCAGATGAATTTATTTGATCAAAAATGTCATAATATGTCATAATCTGATATGTTTGTCAGAATTATATTACTTTAGGCATCAAATACAGTAGCCTCTTACTTTCTTTTTCCCATTCTCTTCTATATACAGCCATTCTTGAATCCAGGAAACCAAGAAGCTCACAGTTCAGCATGTCAGTTTCAGACATCAACTAATTTAACTGGTGATGTCAGTACCAATTTAACTGGTGTCTGCACTAACACAGGGACCCTTGAACACTCAGACTTTCCAAACAGAGAATTCCAACATTGCCAGGTAATATTTGGGGCAATACTGTTTCTCTGAGTTATGATGTAATCCATGTGGAAGTGCTCTTGAACTAGTATTTTGGAGGAAAAACATTCAACTGGTAAACATTAACATTGTTCTTTTGAAAAATATGCAGCATTTTTTGAATGTGTCAAGTTACTAAGAGGCAATGCAAAAGAGGTAGTTCTTATGGGGCTTTTCACTTAAGGAGCTAATGATCTTGATGGAAAGAAAAAACATGTAAAGTGTTTAGAAAAAATAAAAAGGGTCAAAGAAAATGAAGCAGTTTTGGCTTATTTTGTTTGGAGAACTGAGTAGATGATGGCAGCAAATTATTTGGCAGTGAACGACCATGTAACTAACTCTGGCTCAGTGGAAGATGAGGTTATGTGTTAAGGCCCTGGGGCCCTAGTCCGTGGATGAGCTGCTTCACTCTCCTTCCCTTCCTGCCTCTGAGCCTGATGGTGAGCCTTCATGAGCCTCCTGGTTCTGACCTCATGTGTTTTCAACCTTGACTTAGAGACATTTAGTACCACCTTGGTTTGGTGCCTAGAATCAGATTTCCTCTATTACTGACCTGTTGTTATTTTCTTTTCTTCACCTGAAGGTCTGATCTCTGAGTCTTCCCCACAAGGCGAAAACTTGATTTGGACTGATTGATGTTGTTTGGAAGTTTGGTTCAATGCTTTTAGCTCTGGACTACACCCCTCCCCTGATTAATTCTGCTATAGCGACAGTTTGGAGAGATGCTGACAAAAGAGAATAAACTCTTTATGTCAGAATGCTTTTGATAGATAGGAATTATTTAGAGAATATGTTTCTGATAACTTCAAACAAATCAGACCAATCAGAGAGCTGAAAGTTATTTTAAGTGCCTTACTTAGCCACAGGTGGACAACAATGTGGTCTAGCAAGTTAGAATGTTTGTTAAGAATTCACACAGCCAGTTAGTGGCAGTAATAGCACTGGAGCACGGGTCTGAGGTGAGGTTAAGATGAGTTTCTATTATTTTTGCTCCTCTTTTTAAAGATTCAAATGGAAAAGGAGGGTAATTGCTTCTCATGTCTGAGATGTGAGTGTGGTCCTTCCCTTCCTTTTCGACTTCCTTTCAAAGGCCCTAATAACATGGGGCAGGAGATGTTATTTGTCTTTGGGCTCTTAGAGTTGGTGCTCTGAATTCCCACAGCCTTGGTGCTCAATGCCCTAGCACTGCTCCGTTGCCTAGTGGATGATGCTCTCACCCAGACTAAGGTTTATTGTTCACATTTTAGGACATTTAAGAGCTATTCTGCATGCCCCAAAGACATCTGTGTTTATTTGCCTTAGTGATTTGCTTTCAGTCATAGGGATTATATTAAGCTAGTTAGGGAAATCAATTTTTTGAATGTTTTAAGTTTTTTCTTAATTGTAGTATAGTTAATATACAATATCATCTTGGTTTCAAGTATACAACACAGTGATTCAACAGTTAAACACATTATTTAAAAAAACAGTTAAACACAATTAAATCCTTAACCCCCACTAGTACAGTTATTATCTGTCAACATAGAAAGATGTTGTGGAACCATTTACTGTATTCTTGCTGCCCTACTTGGGACCAACTTATATTACGATTGAGATTTTTGTGCCTCTTTATCCCCCTTAACCTCCCACCCATCCACCTCAACTTCTCCCCCATAGTAATCACCAGTCACTTCTCAGTGTCTTTGAGTCTATTAATGCTAGGAAAACATTACCCACACTGTTTCTAATTTATTTACAGCTACCCTGTGAAATAGGTGATATTATCCATGTGAGAGAATCAAGGCTTTGCAAGATAATGCAAATTTCCAAATGTCATCATCCATTTAGTAAAAGGTAGAGTTAGTATTTAAACCTAAATCTAGTAGATTCTGATGCCTATGCTCTTACTTACTAAAAGGCATTGTCTTCCATAAAAATCTAATTATGCAAGACATTTTTTATTCTTATTTTCTTAACAATACTTGGAGATAGATATTAGTATCACTACTTTTGATATAAGGCTGTAAGGGAGGTTGAGAATTAGACAAGTGAAGAAATTTTCTCAGAATATTAATGGTATGGGATTACATTCAAGACTTGCTGATCTCAAAACTTAAATATTTTACATTATACAATGCTTCCTCTACAATAACAAATTATATATATTTCTGTGTATGCATAAATGTCTATATATGTGTACACACACACACACACACATATATATATATAGGCATGGTACTTTGGGGAGTTTGCAAAGTAATTTTACTTTTTATAAGTTTTAATCCTTATTCTAATCTTATCAGATAGATTTTTATGGATGAAAGAATAAGATCAAAGAGGTAAGTATCTTACCCAATGAAAATAGCTGGTGATAGCAGAAGCTAGATTTCAACAAATATTTTCAGACTCCACGTTTCATGCTGCTGAACACTAATCTGTGTGAAAAGTTTGCTAGAAAATTTGATAAGCCATTAATTAATGCAGTTACAATGGAAGACTCCAAAGCAGCCAAATTTCTGATAGGCCAGAAGGGTAGGAAAATTTAATCAGATGATCTTTTAGGTGCCTCCAATTCACTGTATACAACAATCATCCACACATATATATAGATACTCCTTTTGACAGTGGGAAGAATAAGGAGTTATTAAAAAGATACTTATTATTATTTTTTAGTTTGAAATAAAGACAAATTAAAAGAAAGTATGAGAGGTCAGTAGAAATTACTTTGTTCCCATATTAAAGACAATACAAGGACCAAGTCTTTCCTAAATGAAAACTTAAATTTAAGTCAATATATATTATAATAGGCTATTAGGTATTTTTTATGTTTATAAATTCTTTCCATAAAGTAATCTAAATATAAAAAGGATTATCAATGGCATTAATTTGCCTAAAACCTATTTTAAGTACTTTTAGTTATATCCTTTACAGGTGACACGAAATTTCTTCAGTGACTGGTCTCTGTGGAAAATCTTCCTGGCTTGTCTCTTAGCGTGTGTGATAACAACAGCAATTGGAGTACTCATAGTGTGTCTGGTGTATAATGGGAAAAATAGTAATGCTTCCATTGTTATTCAACTTCCCCAAAACCATGGGACAACCTTACCTACAACTGGAACAACCTCATCTACTAGTTCTGAAGCTATAGTTCCTACTACTTTAACATCATCCACTTCAGTTGAACCTGCGACCACCATGGTAACCACCACTTCAAGTATATTGACTACCCCAACAACTACTAGTACTACCACTGAGGCTACCACAACAGCAGCCACAACTATCACCTCTACTGAAACTACAACCACCACAGCAGCCACCCCTTCAACTAAGCTAACCACCAGAACTGCCATCACTACCACTGAGGTTACAACCACAGAGGCCACCACTACAACTGAACCAGTTACAACTGCCAGCACTACTACAGCTTCCACTGAACCCACAACTACAGCAGCCACTGAACCAATTACCACAACAACTGCCAGCACTACCACTGAGGCTACCACCACAGAGGCCACTACTACAGCTTACACTGAACCCACAACCACACTGGCCACCACTACAACTGAACCAACTACCACAACTGCCAGTACTACCACTGAGACCACAACCACAGAGGCTACAACCACAGCTTCCACTAAACCTACAACAACAGCAGCCACCACAACAACTGCCAGCACAACCACAGCGGCCACCACTACAAATGAACCGACTACCACAACAACTACCAGTACTACCACTTATGCTACAAGCACAGAGACCACCACTACAGCTTCCACTGAATCTACAACCACAGAAGCCACCACAAGTGCCAGCATGACCCCTGAGGCTACAACCATAGAGGTCACCACCACAGCTACCACTGAACCCACAACCACAGCACCCACCACTACAACTGAACCGACTACCACAACTGCCAGTACCACCACTGAGACTACAACCACAGAGGCCACCACCACAGCTTCGACTGAACCCACAACCACAGCACCGACCTCTACAACTGAACTGACCACCACAACAACTGCCAGTACCACCACTGAGGCTACAACCACACAGACCACCACAATGGCCAGCACGACCACCGAGGCTACAACCACAGAAGTCACCACCACAGCTTTGACTGAACCCACAACCACAGCACCGACCTCTACAACTGAACCGACTACCATAAAAACTGCCAGTACTACCACAACAACTGCCAGTACTACCACTGAGGCCACCACTACAGAGGCCACCACCACAGCTTCCACTGAACCTACAACCACAGCAGCCACCACAACGGCCAGCACAACCACTGAGGCTACAACCACAGAGGCCACCACCACAGCTTCCAGTGAACCTACAACCACAGCACCCACCACTACAACTGAACTGACTACCACAACTGCCAGTACCACCACTGAGGCTACAACCACAGAGATCACCACCACAGCTTCCACTGAACCCACAACCACAGCAGCCACCACCACAACTGAACCAATGACCACAACTTCCAGCACAACCACTGAGGCTACCACCACAGCTTCCACTGAACCCACAACCACAGCAGCCACCACCACAACTGAACCAACTACCACAACTGCCAGCACGACCACTGAGACTACTACCACAGAGGCCTCAACCACAGCTTCCACTGAACCCACAACCACAGCAGCCACCACCACAACTGAACCAATGACTACAACTGTCAGCACAACCACTGAGGCTACCACCACAGAGGCTACAACCACAGCTTCCACTGAACCTACAACCACAGCATCCACCACTACAACTGAACTGACTACCACAACTGCCAGCACCACAACTGAGGCTGCAACCACAGGAGCCACCACCACAACTTCCACCGAACCCACAACCACAGCACCCACCACTACAACAGAAGCGACTACCACAACAACTGCCAGTACTACCACTGAGACTACAACTACAGAGGCCACCACCACAGCTTCCACTGAACCCACAACCAGAGCACCCACCAGTACAACTGAATCTACTACCACAACTGCCAGCATGACCACTGAGACTACTACCACAGAGGCCTCAACCACAACTTCCACTGAACCCACAACCACAGCACCCACCACTACAACTGAAGCGACTACCACAACAACTGCCAGCACAACCTCTGAGGCTACCACCACAGAGGCTACAACCACAGCTTCCACTGAACCTACAACTGCCAGCGTGACCACTGAGGCTACAACCACAGAGGCCACAACCACAGCTTCCAGTGAACCTACAACCACAGCATCCACCACTACAACTGAAGCGACTACCACAACAACTGCCAGTACCACCACTGAGGCTACAACCGCAGAGGTCACCACCACAGCTTCGACTGAACCAACAACTATAGCACTGACCTCTACAACTGAACAGACTACCATAACAACTGCCAGTACTACCACTGAGGCCACCACCACAGCTTCCACTGAACCTACAACCACAGCAGCCACCACTACAACTGAACCGACTACCACAACAACTGCCAGTACCACCACAGAGGCCACCACCACAGCTTCCAGTGAACCTACAACCACAGCAGCCACCACTACAACTGAACCAACTACCACAACAACTGCCAGTACCACCACTGAGGCTACCACCACAGAGTTCTCAACCACAGCTTCCAGTGAACCCACAACTATAGCACCCACCACTACAATGGAACTGACTACCACAACTACCAGTACCACTACTGAGGCTACAACCACAGAGGCCACCACCACAGCTTCCACTGAACCTATAACCACAGCACCCACCACTACAACTGAATTGACTACCACAACCACTGCCAGCACGAGCACTGAGGCTACCACCACAGAGGCCTCAACCACAGCTTCCACTGAACCCACAACCACAGCACCCACCACTACAACTGCCAGCACGACCACAGTGGCCACCAGTACAACTGAACAAACTGCTGCAACAACTGCCAGCACGACCACTGAGGCTACAACCACAGCAGTCACCACCACAGACTCCACTGAACCCACAACTACAGCACCCACCACTACAACTGAATTGACTACCACAACCACTGCCAGCATGAGCACTGAGGCTACCACCACAGAAGCCTCAACCACAGCCTCCACTGAACCCACAACTACAGCACCCACCACTACAACTGAACCGACTACCACAACTACCAGTACTACCACTGAGGCTACAACCACAGAGGCTGCCACAACAACTTCCAGTGAAACCACAACCACAGAGGCCACCACTACAACTCAGCCGACTACCACAACAACTGGCAGCACAACTGCTGAGGCTACAACCACAGCTTCCACTGAACCCAGAACTACAGCAGCCACAACTACAACTGAACTGACTACCACAACTGCCAGCACCACCACTGCAACTGCAACCACAGGAGCCACTACTGAAGCTTCTATATAACCTACAAGCATCATTGCTGCTACTACTTCAGCTGAACTGAGTACCACAACAACTGGCACTACTACCACTTAGGCTGTAATCGGAATGGCCATCACTACCTTTCATACTGAACCTACAATGACCACAAACAGCCACTTCTTCAACCAAACTGACTACCACAACTGCCAGTGCTACCATTGAGGTTATAACCACAGTGTTCACTACTGCCACCTCTGAATCTACAACCACAGCAGTAGCAGCCACTTCAGCTGAACTGATTACCACAACAGCTGCCAGTACCACCATTGAGGCTATAACCACAGCCATTACTATACCACCTCTACTGAATATGCAAACACAACTGCACCCATCACTTCTAGTGAAGCCTCCCACAATGACTGCCACCAAGTAGTACCAGTAAAGCTACAACCCTAATAGTTACCACTACCACTTCTACAAATCAACAACCATCATAATAGTCACCCCTTCATCTGAACCAGCAGCATAACAGTGACCAATACTTTTAATCTGAATCTACCACATAAACTGCAGTCACTGTCCTTTCAACTGAGTGCATTACCACAAGTACAATTATCATTTCAACTGCACCCACAGCCATTTTTTTCAAGTTCATATTAACTGAGTCTACAATTGCCATGAATTTTACTTAATATACTATTATGAGATTACAGCAGCAGTTCAAGTATTTCTTATCCACAGTGGTAACTCTTTTACCACACTTGGAAGCTACATCTACATAGTCATCCAACAACTTCAACTCACATTGATTCATTCCCATTTCAAATGAACCTACAATTTTCATTGGTTTAACCAAATTTCCAGATACTGCTTTCTGCTCTACAACTGAATTTATATGGCCTGCAATAGTCACCTCCACCTCAGGGATTAAGTCTAGTCTGTTTTCTTACAAAACTAAAGTGTCATCTTCAACCCCCACTGCCACCACCTCAAGTAAAGATAAAATCAACATAGATGCTACGAACTCCACTGACTTTCCAATCACATAACTGTAATGATGTCAGCGGAATTTATAGTCTCCATAACCAACATTACCTGTTAATAGAAAATGCGGCAACTTCTATGTACTATTACAATACCGTTAGCAATACCACTGCCCCTTCAAATGAATCCATAGCCACAATAATAACATTACATCAATGAAACACGCTTTTACCATAACTTCTACTGAAATTTCATAATAGGGACCACCACATCAAGTGATCCTACAGTAATACTACCATTTCTATGCATCGTTATTTCCTCACCATTTCTACTGTACATACTAGTGTAACAGACAGAACTTCACTAAACCCTTTGATGCCCTATCACCTGAATCTATAAACATTGTAACTTCTACTGACATGTTATTCAAAGAACCAAATGCTGCTTCTATTTATGATAAATCCATTAAGTCATACTATCATTACCCTTGACAGAAATGGCAAATTCATAATCACCTCTTCCTTTGCAAATGTAGTTAGGGGATGCCTGCAAATTAAATCCTATCATTCCCTGTCATCACTCTCAGACCACAACCAGAACTACTATTAGGACCATAGGTGATTCCATAGCCAATAACTGCCAACTTATAACTAAACAACTACCTAAATAACCACTTTTAAAGCAAGATTTACTTAACCAGTTCAAGTATCATCACAATAACAAGGAATTTCACCCCATAACAATATTTCGGTTTAACATTACCATTTATTAGGCCTCACTATTTAATGTGGAGAGTCTTTATTTTGTGGTGTTTTAAATAATACAATTTTCATACAAAGTAAATCCAGTGTATATATATTTGTGTTGGAAAGCTGTTAATGATGAAATAAAAAGTTATCAAATGAGAATGCAGCCTTCTATTATTCCGAAGTTTTAGTCTTTAATATAGAAATTCCATATGTAATAGGAAAAGAATATTCTGTATTGTAAGGGCATGTTAAATATATTTATTACCATATTTTCTTTTTATATTATGTAAAATTATTTTCACTTAACTTGTCTTTTAAATGATTTTGACATTTAATATTTTTAAATGTTATCAATATTTTCAGTAAAAAGTTTGTTTTCTCCTATTTTTTTCAGTAATCTTATAAAAGTACTCAGTACTTTGAGTAAACATTTACTTGTACCTGTTATATGCTGAAATACAGGAGAAAATGCAGATAGTAATAAACTTACAAGTTTGGATTCTGTTATTTAGAGTTCTTGGTAAGTGCCAAATATAAATCAATGTGTGACCCATACTTGCTTTCCACTGAGTTCTACTGAATCAAAATCAAGAATGGGCCAGAAATCTTTATTTTTCAAAATATGTACAGATAGGACTGATAACCACTAGTTGGGGTAGTGAACACAGAAGGGCATTGTAACTTCTTATATCTTTTGGATGCTGTTGTTGAGAATAACAGAAATCAGTAAATATTCTTTTAAGCATCAACGAAAGTCAGTGTCTTTTGTTGTTGGTAATTTTACCTGTAAACAAAGGATGGCTGTGTAGTGTACAGATATATACACACATGGTTGGAAGTGGGCATGAAAATGCTTTCCTTACATAAAAGGAAAAATCTATTTTTCAAGCAATTTAAAACAAATATTTTTAAAGCCATTATGCTAATTATAAATAATTTTAACTGTTCTGTCAAGTCAGTGCTGCAGAGGTAATTTCCCACCATTTTGCTAACCTACTTACTACATATATGCAATTAAAATAAAACTTTATTAAAGCCATTTAATTCTATTTCTTTCCTTCCTCCATTATTTTTCAATTAGTAATTCTTCATATTATTTATTAAATATATAACTGAGTGGACTTTTCTCTCTCAAAGAAAGATGTAACTTACTATTTTCTGGTTATACATCTCTGCTTTTCATCAGGATGAGAAATGTTCTGGAGTAGATCCATTGTATAAACAATCACAAATTTGCTTTGTAAAAGATGGAAGATGCTCCAAGCTTAACACACTATAGGTACTCAATGTATGTTTGTTTAATAAACACATAAATTCATCACAGCAACAGTATATTAAGTAAGCTTCCTGAAGCCAGAACCTGGCCTTTATATTAAACAAGTGTGTATACCTGATAACTAGTAGATAATATTTGTTCAGTAAATGATAATAGCAACAATTATAAAAATGTATTACTAAATGAAGATTTTAGCATTGGAATTATACTGTTAAGTCATCTTTTTTTTAATGTTAAGCTATTCTAATTTGTAGTATTTTTATAAAGGAATTAGCTTAATACTGGGGGAAAAACTTCCAGAAAAAAAGTATGACAATACTTATATAAAGAAAAAACATGAAATATTATTTTATATTATTTGGGAATATATGCAAATATATAAAAATATAAAGAATTAGGATAGTGGTTACTTCTGTTATGAAGAAAGGTATAAGGCTTGATCTGGAGGAGTCCATAGTGTGCATATGTAATGATTTATCTCTTAGGATGGGTGATGGGCATATGGATGTTTAATGTAAAATTCTTTATATCTCTCTGTATATTTGAAATATTGCCCAGTTAAAAAAATGCAGCATGGCTAATACATAGTGTTGTATAAATGAGTGTACAATGAAGCTTGAGAGGTAAGCAGTGGCTAACTCATTTTGGGTCTTGTAGGTTATGCTAAGTTTTAGTGATTTTCCTCTCCCAAGAGGAAATGTCATTGAGGAGTTTTGAGAAGGAAAGTGGCATATCTACTTTAGTTTTAGATGGAACAATATAAATACTTTGTGGGAAAGGGATTGGGGGATTGAAAAGTGGAAAAAGAACAATTAGGAGATTTTTGCAATGGTTTTGGTAAGAGATGGTGTTGAGTGAAAGCACTCAATATAGAGCCTGACACGTGGTTAATGACCAGTCCCATGACTATTACTTTTATTGTTTAGATGATGTCAGGGATACACAGTCATTTCTCCTTTACTGAGGTCAGACCCACCCTAACAGTATTTCTTTCAAGTACAACGACCATGTTATTTTCTTGAAGTCTCATCTCTTCTAGATTTAAAATTATAAGTTCTCATCATCTACTCTCTCACTTGCATATTTAATCTCTTTTCTTTACATTCTCACAACACCTCTCTATATCTGGGCCAATCTTTATTAATTTCTGCAACCAAAGAGCTTCCTCTCTGCATTTGTCTTAGTTGCTTTTCTCTTCTACAATACCCTCCTTTCTCCCTTCTCCCATCCCAAGTGCATCATACATATCCTTTAAGGTCTGATTCAGAACTTATCTCCTCCAAGCTATGGCCAGCTTCTTCACTCGATGATTTTTTTGCTTTCTTTGGAAAACATCACTCCAAATATGTCTACTTCCTGCCCCATTCTTCCCATCCTGCCTGAGCTGCTCTCTGGTCCTTGCAGGTGAATCCACCAAACCCTCAACCTGTAGCCTTAGTCTTACTCCAATTTGTGCCCTAGTTCCAGAACTGACATTATCAGAGAAAATAATTATTTGAGTGTCCCAGCCCCCAGTCTGGTGTTGGGCAGGGATGCTTCATACTCTCATCTTCTGCCACCTTCAAACCAGATTAGGTAAGTGAGTGTCTACTTCCAAGCTCTTGAAAGCTGTGACAGCAGGGTCCTGCACTGACACTCTGCTCTCAGCATTCCTTACTGCAGCCCTGAGCAAGGGTTTGATGCCTCAGTGCTGACGCTTTTTCTGCCATTGTGGTTATGGGGTTTAAGCTCAGCCCCATTTCCTCCAGAACTCCAGATCTTACAACTCTGTTGTGGCCCTGGAGCTCCTAAGTCCTCTGTGAGTTAGTTTGTAACCTCTGGTAAGTTGACGGCCCTTTCAAGTTGCTGGTGAGTGTCTAATTGATTCCCTTATTTTCCAGTAGTGGTGGTAGCTTTACCGTGTTCTTCTAAGACTCCATTCCTGAAGTCTGGGTCTTTCCAATGAACCTCTGCTCTAGGGTCTAGAGCCCTGCTGATTCCTGGCGGACTGACCAAGACTGCAAGTCCGCAGCACTCGACAGATTCCTGATTCCTGTATTTAGTGCACCTGTTGGGAAGATGGACTTTCCTAATGGGGACACTTGAGTGCAGATCATCTGCTTGAATCTCAATCAGATATTGTAGTGTTTGCATCGATAGGAAGTTTGGCACCCGTGACTGGGTTTTCTAGGCCTTTCAATTATTTAGAAATAGACCACTGCTCCTTTTACCCGCATGGATGGCCTGGTACCAATCCTCAACACCATCCCTGTCTCGTTAACAACCAGGCCTCCCTAATGCATCCTGAGGTAAGTTAACAGCATCTTTGTGCTTAACATTTTATATGATTTCTTTGATTGATTCACTTCTAAATAACCTTTTATTCCCCACTCACCACTTCCCTGCTATTCCTTTTTTCTAGCAGATTTATTAAGTTACAACTCACATCATAAGATCTACTTATTTAAAATGTACATCTCCCTTCTCCCCATTAGTCTGAACAAAAGCATACTGTAATTATTGACCTTGATTAAATGATTGTTGGATGAAGGATTGGGGCAACCTCAAGTTCATACACTAAACTTAGCTTGGGACTGATTAAATATTTCTTTAAAATTTGATGTTTCATCAAGGACATGGGGATAATAACCCTTAATTTTTGGAAGGGTTATGAAGATTAAATTATGATCAGAGAAGGCACCCACTTGTAAAGCCCACATCTCCATAGTAAATGTCAGTAATAGTTCTGGAAGGTGATGCCATTTAGGACTGACTTGTCAAGATCCACTTAGGAGGCTGCAGGGCCATGTTGCAACAACAGATGGTGCTATGGTGCTATTTTTTTCTTTTTTTTTTTGGCTTCTTAGTCATTAAAAATAACTGGATTTAGGTGAAAGTCAAATGACTAACTTTTGTCTCTTAACAAGTAGATTAAAAAAAATTTTGAATATAATTGTATTGCCAAAGTAATCAATACTTACTATTTGGGAGAAGAATTTGATTTATTTTTTATATCTCTTCAGTAAACAGAACCAGTCCAAACAGACTGAAGTTATTGAGAGGAAGACTTTGACTCAACATAGAGAAGAATGATCTAGCAGGAGAGTTCACACAGAAAGGAATACTGAACCCTAGAAGACAGATGACCTCCTATCACTGCAAGGGACAAACAGGCTGGAGTAAGAGTTCACTTTCATTAATTGGAATTTGACCTAAATGTCTTGGGTCCTTTTAACTCAAATGTAGTTACATACATTTACAAAAACAGTATTGCCCACAATAAAACTAGTATTATTTAAATGAACTTTGAAATTTATAATCAAAAGTTAAATGTACATGAATTATAAACTGTAATAAGACTAGAATGTAAACTCCAATATGACAATTGCTTGTCTGTTTTATTTATTGCTATGGAAATCCCCACTGTCCAGAAAAATGTATGTAGTACATTCTGAATAAACATTTGCTGAATGAATAAAAAACCACACCTAAATATTTCAGAGGATTCCATCACTTTTCTTTAAGACATTTTCTAAGATAGTGGTTTTCAGACTTTGGTGTGCATGAGTCACCTAAACAGAGTACAACCCCCCTGGGATTTAGTTAGTCTAGTGTGAGCCCAGGAATAAGCATTCCCAAGATATCTTCCCATCCCTTTGTAATTCTGGGACTCGATTTACTTGCTTCTCTTTGTTTTCAAAAGGAGATCTAATGGAGTCTCTAGTGGACTGTTTGCCTTTCTTCATCCCAAGCTGGGACAGATGGATGACTACTACCCTGAAGACAGCAGAGAGGTCCTGACCACAATTATTAAACTGGTGGTGTCAGTTTTTCTCCTGGGGTGTTGGTTTTTTCATTGTTAAATGGCAGGGTTAAAATAGATGATCTATATGTCTGAACTCTATCACAGGAATATTAAGATAAATTAGATGGATCATTAGCTAGTCAATTAGTGATTATATCTATCATAAAAGAAAATT